CGGAGGATCGAACCCATGACTGCTAGTGGCTCTTGCCAACTAGCCCGCAGCTTATGCAACTGCGCCATGGAGGACGGTATCTGACTATCGTGAATTGTTAGCTAAATGCGATATACTCACCAAAATCCTTCCATTCATAAGTAATACCAATTCGCCCGTACGGATTCCACAAAATGCTATGTCGATTCATAGCTGCCGTAACCGGGAAGTCCTGACGCCGGAAGGCAGGCCACTGTCATCTGCATGGCAGGTGCCTGCATGGCAGTGGAGGATGCGTCGGGCTATATCGCATTTAGCTAACAATTCATGCTAGTCAGATCCGTCCTCCATGGCGCAGTTGCATAAGCTGCGGGCTAGTTGGCAAGAGCCACTAGCAGTCATGGGTTCGATCCTCCGCTGAGGACCGAAGGATGCGCACCACTGATGAGCCCCAATAGGGCGAAACGGCCGTCTGGTGCTTTTCCGGACAGCTGGTCGACATATCTGAATTGTCGGCTGATTGCGATGAACAAAAATACTCACCAAAATCCTTCCATTCATAAGTAATACTTTGGTCAGGTTTGAACAGTTCGCAAATACATAGTTCATATAGTTTAACTAAATAACATGAGTCATCGACATTTTCGTTCAGCGATTTAATCGAAACTTGTGATGCTAGGGAACGGCACACACGAGCCAAATGCCTAACTTTGCCGCAGTTCCTGCACATCATAAGTGAGTAAAAGCACTGTTTGGGGGAAGGTGGTTGATCTCCACATTGGCAGCACACACATTTCCGCCCAATATTCTCAGAGGTAAAAAGTAGAGTTAGTTTGTTCACAGTTTCTATAGGCTAGGCGGGTTAAAATTGGACAACTGATTTTTCTTATGTTCCCTCTGCCGAGCAACGTTACATGCGGATTCCCAAGTAAGTTTCTTCTTCCAGGGCGCAGGATCAGGCACTTAGAAAAGCGAATCAAGGAACATTTATCAACGTCGCTCGTCACCCAACAGGACTCAAACTAATTTGTGTGCAATAACTAACAATTTGATCTGCATCGATCATCTGATTGATAAGCGCAAGTCATTTAAGATCCTCTATCGAGTGCCATCGCAGCTGCATCATCAGTCAGGAGTTCGTATACTTGCTACCACTGACGCGGTATGCATCAGGTTGACAAAACCTAATCTTTGCATTCAGAAGAAATATGTCCAAGCAGTACAATTACCCCGGCCAGCCGTTAACAAAAATAAATCGGATCTCACTCAGTGGTGTCATATTCGTTCAGTTACCTGACCACAGGATAGGTTACGTTAACTATGTAAAAGTTTTGTTTAATCAATAGTTGCTCTCTGTTTCCCCAGTGAACACCTCTTCTCAATGTAAATTTCTGTACCAAGCCTGATGATGAACAAATAGAAAACAATTGTTCGCTTTAAGCGTACCGCTTGCGTTCTTTCTTGCAGTACGCAATAAAAATGGGCATATTACACGATATTAAACGTTACAAATGCGCCCAAATGCTCAAAAAACTCAAACAGTCTATTAAGTTCAGCGTTAGGTTTGCCGATACATAAGCCTTTATCATATTTCACCGTCAGTGCGTTGAAACGAGTAACTACCCAAAAACATTATCGGAAGCATTGCAAAGGCACACATTCGTCCTACAACAAGCAGCTGGAAGCGTCACGCGCTAAACAATATAGAATCAAGAAAACCGAAGCAATCTGAGATTGAATGGTATGCAGGACAGAGGAAATCCGTTCTGGAGATAAAGAAGTCCGGTTTATCGAGTATGTGCGCAACGTGACCTCAAGCGAACATCCAAGAAGAGATTAGTTCTGCAGAAAACAATGACCGGGAAGTAATGTCCGAACAGATTTCCATCAAATCCGGAAAGATATGTACACAACCTGCCCAGTGTGCGACTAAACACTTTGCAAATGCAGGCGCTTACATTGGGCCTTAGATTTTGCCATCCACGAAATAATGATCACTGACTAGAAATCGAAACTCGATTTGCATACCTTAACAGCCAGACATGTGATTAAGTAGCCACTTCCAACACCAGCCTCGAACAATTTAAGTCAGACTTGGTCAACATTTCCTTTCAGTCTAAACAATACCCCATGACACATTCCCGATTACTAACAAAGGCAGACGTCGAAGTAATAAGGGAAATTCAGCAATACAAGGGGATCATAATCACCAAACCAGATAAAGGATCGGGAGCCGTGATCATGAACAGCACTGAATACGGGCAAAAAAGGAAAACTATCCTCTCGGACTCCTCTAAATTTGTACGATGTGAGTGAGAGAAGGACAAAACGGACAAACAGAGGCACAACTGACAAAGTGTTTGAAATCACTGGTCACTAATGTCCACATGACTTAAGGAAGATATGAAAGGCTAAGAGCCACCGGCTCCATAATTCCTAGACTTTACGCTCTCCCAGAAATGCACAAGCCTGGTGGACCATTGCGACCGATAGTGGATATGAGGAACTCACCATATCACAACATCTCAAAATGGTTAAGGTCTGTTTTGAATCCTACTAAGAAAATGATAGCCCCTCAACAACTTACGAACACTTTCTAATTTGTTGAAAACCCTAAAACCATGAACATCTTAGGCTATCGAATGTTTTCTCTGGAAGTCGTATCTCTGTTCACGAATATCCCACCACTAGAAACAGTCAACTTTCTTTGTACTTACATTGATCAGTACAAGATAAAGATCGAGATAACAACTGTCCACTTAAAGCAGCTATTACTCAGATGCACTTATAACATCAAATTCCAATGCAACAATGAATTGTACAGACAAGTAGATGGCGTAGCGATGAGATCATTACTCGGACCACTATTGGCTAATCTGCATATTGGAATGTTAGAGGATGGCTCATTAAAATCGGTCATCTCGGGTCTACGTTTCTACCGGCGTTATGTTGACGACATATTCTGTATAATTGAGCAGACGAACAACTTGCAGAATGTCGTCGAGTGTTTTAACAAGACACATCCCAACGCCACTTTCACAGCTGAAGAAGAAATTGACAACCAAATGCACTTCTTGGATGCAAACTTAAGCGACGAGAAGACAGATCAATCCATACTGGACAGACCAATACACACACTTCCGGAGTTTTGTGCCAATCAGCCGTAAAAGAACACTAGTACGTACTCTGGAATATAGTGCACGGAAGATCTGTAGTGAGGACACAATGGAAGATGAAATGAAGCGAATCAGGCAAACGCTTCTCAAAAACGGTTATCCAGAGCGATTCCTTGATGTTCATATTAAGCCCAGTAGCTCATGACCAGAAGTACAAACGGTAGAGAAGAAACAGCTATTTCCCCGATTTTCCTTTAAGGGTGATGTACCGGCTGAGTTATGCACACGACGACTGACCTAAACTTGCCAAAAGAACTTTAATGCAGCTCAATTAAGTGTCGTTTTTACAAGCAGTTCGCCCATTGTTCCTAGATTCAAAGACAAGATGCCTGATCAACGCCAAGCAGTGGTACTCTACCGGTTCACCTGCTCCTTTGGGACTAGGTACATTGGGCGCACGACCAGGCATTAAGAAAAGTGAATCAAGGAACATTTACCTTGCCCTTTACCAATAATGAAACATCACGGCGTCGCCACAGATGCCTCAAATTGGCGAATGCCGAACGGGATCAAACGGACCAATGAGAAACAGAGACTAACCAGCGATTGCACTATAGTTATGCGATTAGGCGGGTATAGTTGGTTGGTGTAGCATGATGCATCGGTTGTGGATGTCGTAAAATTCACCTAAAGTGATTGTCTGGTGACGATCACAGAGATATGATGATAGCCAACACAGTAATGGGTCCCGGATCAAAAAGGCTTCCAACTGTTGTAACAACTGCACCTGAGGTACTCAATCGAATGGTTGATGCAAGTCAATAAAGACAATTACTACTGCGAATTATTCATCAAGCCTAAAAATTGACAATGTCTATCACCTCATGTAACGGATAAATTAACTTGTTCAACCTATCTGGAGATTTCTCATATTGATTGACACCAAAACGACCAATCACTACTCTTTGTTTGCTTATTAGACTTTGCATGATAAAACCTCAGTTACTTTGTTTCTCGTTCACAGTTGGACCTTGATTAACCACAAGGGTTTACCAGTCTTGCATCGTTCAATGGTTAAGCTTGCTTCTCCCACCTTCTGTCTTACTCCTTGTGCGTGTTATACGGCCCACTTACATACTCAGCTTCATTAGTCTGTACTGGTCCCCTCCTATTTCCTTTGTTTTCCTGGCTGAATTCTCATCCAGACATTCACACTTACTTTCGTCCAGGACACATGCCGTTGTCTGGGTGAGTAGGTTAGGCTCGCTCACCACGCCCGCGTTCCATGTGCACTGCTCATTAGCTGATGGATTGACGATTGATCACTTCGCTTTAAAACACGCTGACATTAGTATCGCTTCGCGTCATTGTGCTTATCTGTTGACCATTGCTGTTGGCGGCACGTTTCACTTGAGAGCCGAAGTATTGTACACATTTGATCTGAAAATTGATGAGGTTTGTTATTAAATGGTTGTCTATCCATTTGTAAAGATCACCTTAGCTCTTCCGGCTTTGACTTCAGGATTGACCCAGCTGCGCTAGGAGTTGCTCATGTTCCAAGACCGATTTTTCTGTACTAGTGCTCAAACAACTTATGATTATTTGTGCTACGTTGGATACAAATCAATGGCATCAAGAAGAAAGCCGTCAAATAAGAACACCGTGAATATTGGCAATACTGGGCAAGTCAAACCTTTGTTGTTGCCACGGATGACGCAGTTTCGCGCTCTAGTTTGCTCGTTACTCATAGGTCGAGTGAAGTTCTAGGTCTAGTGAATTTCTTAATACTCCATCTACGAAACTGAAACAAGGACGCACTCAGGAGGTTGCCTCAAGCCCTCCTATGGAAAATGGACGTCACAACTTGAGTCATAGATCTCTTTCTAAGGGAGCAGCGAAGGCACAATGGCGGCCGACAACGGGACGCCAAATTTAACCAAGAAGGGTGTGGGTAAATTTAAGTGCCTCCGTGAGCAGGACAAGTCTTCGCCTGCTCAATTACCCCAATCGCTTAGTTCGCAACCTATGAAGCCCACGAAATCGCGTGAAGATGATAAAAATTTAGTCGCAGGAAGTGGAAAACTGCTGGATGATCCACAACTGAAAGTTCGGCTTCTCGACATGATTCGCCAGCGCATTGCCATCTTGAATGCACACACTTTTTATGTGCGGAATCTGCCGCGGAGTACATTGGTCTCCCTTTTGCGATCGTTGTGTCCCACCTCAGTCAACGCTCATTTGAATCACCTGACATTCGATAGAGGATGCAAAAGCGCTTTTATCGTATTCAAGACGGAAACGTCTACACGAGAAGCACAAAATTCAATACATTTGGTCAATGGCCATTTTGAGGTGACACCCCCATAGCGAAATGACGGTTTACGCATGGAGCTTGCGGCTGCTCGAGCAGAGTGTGAGGATTTGCTGTCTCGTATTGATGTTGGTGTTCGTGATGGTGCATGCAATGATGTTGGATTGATTCGGTCCAGTGGGCGAGTGGAAGTAGCGTCGACAGAACGTGCAGATGTGTCGGCTGAGGTGTGTGTTTCGAGGAGCGTGGTGTACGAGTCGGTCCCATGCTAATTATCAACAGTGGTGCGATTACCTGGGAGTGTTTGTCTGGATTTGGATGCGAGAGCGGATGTGTCAGCGGTTGGTGTGCATGATTCGGCCCCGTACTTAAAGTGCGTGGAACATGTGAGCAGTCAAGAGGATGAAGAGCGCGTGTTATATGGTCGCAGTAGCTAGGGGACGGTTATTGGTGTTACAGCACGTGACGCGGGTGTAAGGTCTGACATGGCGGATGTGTGTGAACCGAAATCGGTATTGTTGTAGGAGGCAGATGGGATGTGTCAGTTGCTGGATGAATTGAGCACCTTCACTTGAGAGAGACGTATGAGCGGGCGCGTAACTCGGAGACTGAGAGAGAGTTGTTGACTGAATTGCGTTATACTGAGACGGATGAACCGGCAATTGATAGTGTTGTGAAAGCGTCTGCGTTGAGTGTTGTAGATGATGCCAGTGCTCGTGTTGATTTCGCTGTGATTGTTTTGTATGTGGCAAAGGTGAGCGAGTCACTCTTGATTGTGGACAAGTTGACTGCTAGTGAAAGGTTGTTGTCGTTGCATTCGCCGATGGTGGGAACCCATGCGGAGAAGGTGTAGGAGGACTGTGGATCTGCTATGACTGGTGAATTGTGGTCGTGGGACAATGTTGGGGAGACGGATCACAGACCGGATGGTGTATTAGCTGGTGGTCATGATGTAGGTGTACAGAGTGTAGATGTTGGTTGTTGGATTCCAATGACGATGTCGTCGGCTGGAGGTGCAATGAGGTCGGCTACATCATCGGGACCGAGAATGGTGGATACGAAGAAGTTGTTGGGTGAGTTGGTGTGACACTTGGCTAAAGTTAGTGCGAATTATGCGGACGGGTTATCGGAGCGTGCATTGTTGGAGTTGACGGATTCTTGGAATTGCTTGGAGTTGGCAAATGAGGCTCTGAGTGTTCGAGTGACAGATCAAAAGAAAATATTGGTTAGTATGACTGGCGAGTTGAAGCCGGATGCGGTCTTCTGGTGCTATGATCACTCGCCCGACTTTGATGTCATCGGCGTAGAATAAAGAGTTTGACGAAATTTGACTCAGTAGATCGTTTATGAAGAGCAAGAATAGACGGGGCCCCAATACCGAACCAGGTTATACTCCGCATTTGACGTGAATTGGGTCTGACATGGATTCACGTTCGCAATTTCAGACGCCCGTGCGAGAGAAAATTGCAGATCCACCCGAGGATAGGTTCTCCAATATCAAATCCTTGAAGTTCTGCGGGAAGCATACAATGGTCCAACCGGTCGAATGCCTTAGAGAAATCAAAGTAAGCCACATCAACGCCTGCATCAGCATCCACAGTTCCGGTCCAGCTGTCTCGTGCTAACAATAGGTTGGTTGTACACAATCGATTCTGACGGAAGCCGTGTTGCTGCTGAGCAATGTAACCAAAGCCGTCCAGATAAGACATGAGTGTGAAGGAAATGATAGCCTCTATAACTTTGGAAAGAACTGGCAGAAGGGTCACTGGTCGATAAGTAGCTGGGTCGGAACGACTACCCCCTTTGTAAATGGGAGTTATTCTGTGTTTCCACACCGCAGGAACGTGATGCTCGTCAAGTCAGTGGTGGAACAGCCGCGCCAAAAGTTTAGCCAAAATAGTAGCCGCCACAGCAAGCGCCTTTGGGAGGATGTCGTCAATTCCTGGACAGGCGTGTAGGCGCATGGATAGCAGCTTTCTCATCACGATGTCTGTCTTAAAATTTATATGAGTGAGTCCTTGTGTGGGCACCATAGATTCCAAAGATACAGGAGAGCACGGGATGTAATGAAACGTTGGTACATATTGCTGTTGCAGAACATTCGACGCTACTTTAGCAGTCCGAGTTAGACCATCCGCTGTTTGAAGAGGGGGAAATCCATGATTTCAGAAGCATTTGAATACAAATCGTCCTACGATTTTATTATGGTGACATTGCACACTTGAGGTAAGAGCTTTTTCAGGCCAACTATTGCGTCTAGAGTTACACGTTGCCATAATAAAATCCTACAGAACCGATTTGTATTCAAAAGCTTCTGAAATCATGAGATCCCAGTCGGTTCCAAGCATATTCCGAGAGGGAAATCCACTTTGCACCTTGCGGAGGCTGTTCACATGTTTGTACAGAAGTTTAGGATTTGCAGTTAATCGCTCGGCTAAAGCGTGTTGATAAGCTACTTTGTCCTCGCGCACTAATTGGATACAGTGGTTACGGTGGACCACATATGCCTTCCAGGTACTCGAACTCGGATCGGTTTTGTAGGTATACCACGTCGCGTTGCGCATCAACATGCGTTTGCGTGTGCTACTCCGTATAAACGACGCCACATTTCTCGAACTGATAGGCTTGGTTTCCGATGCCCCACTAAGCAGAGTGTTAAACTTACTGACGAAACGTTCCCAGACAAAATCGGGTTCATCTTTGGTTAGGAAAATTCAGTTGGTCGCTTCAACAAGTCGGATTAAGGTATCGTAACTGATTACGGTTCGTGTTGTTTGAGTTCGGTCCTCTGGATATTCAACATAGCATGCGTACAAGAAATGCAAAGTCGCATGATCACTGCGGCCTAGATGAGTATCGATTATCACTCTCTCGATCATCAGTTCTTCATTAGTGAATATCCGGTCCAATATGGATGGTTTGTTATTTCCCCTGAATCTGGTGGGCGAAGTGACGTGGTCATAAAGCAAAAAATCTGAGCCAAGATCTTGCAGGTTTGCTTTAAATTGCTCACCTGGTGTGGCCTTGAATTCTAAAACATGTGAGTTGAAATCGCCGGCGACTAGAACGTCACTGTACTTCCTGTTTATCACCTGCCTCAATGCAGCAACCAAGTTGCAGTCCATCTCAGGTGTAGACGATAGTGGTCGGTAAACAACAACCACTAGGCCAAGATCGTTCCCTCTCAGCCGGAAGCTGCAGCAAATGGAGTCAGGTACATTGGTTTCCGAATCGCGTATGGGTTCGCACTGCAGGTTGTTGCGAAAATAGCGGGCTACCCCACCACCTTTGCTGGCTCGATCATTCCGGACAACAGACATACCTGTTAGCACGATTTCGGCATCCGTTATCTCACAGCGCAACCACGTTTCCATGATAGCGATGAGGTCCCAAGTTGCTGACGCGCGTCGAAGTCTTAATTCAGCTAATTTGCTGAGTAGACCTTTGGCATTTGTGTACATGCATGAGTGCTTCTCGGAGACCAAAAGTGTGTTGGGTGGAATAGATGAAGCAAGTGAGTTTAAAGCTTACCGCTTTTTGGATGGGTTGCAGTCTCGAGATGAATTCGGTATATATTCAGGTAGCAGATGCCCCGGATCTCGGTGTTCACTCGTGCTCTGCTGTGTCCCTGCGGATGTTATAGCTACTGTTGAAACCGTCACCGAGTCAGGTCCTACAGTTGGTATTTTCATTGAGAGTTGCGCCTCCACTGAGTTGTCATTAGAATGTGGTGGTGTTCCTGCTGCTTTCAGACGAATTTTTGTTGGCAACCTGCTACGGAATTTAGTCCAGTTCTCTAGAAGAGTTTGTGCCGTTAGTTCTGATTGCAACACCAGTTTCAACAGCCTGGGACCGCACCCCTTATAGTTCGGTGATAAGGGGATCCTTGTCAACGAGGTGGCCACGACATTTTCGAGAGAAAGAGCCTCACGGATGTAGTGCCATTGCTCCCGGTCGTGTACCTGCGCATCGTCGGAAGAGGAATCAGTAAGCTCAGGAACACCGTGAGCAATCACAGTTTTCTTATCTTGACTTTTTCTGTTCCTCTCTCTGTTAGTTGGATCCGCTGCACGTTCTTTCCACGGGATTTCAGGTAGTATGCGCACTCCACTTGAGGCGTTGCGGAGTCGATTCGCAGACAGCAGAACGGCCTCTGTCTCATCCACCGAGTTCAGTGTTACCCGAAGTAACCGGGGTTCACCGTAGTGCAGTGCGTTTGGGTGACGCGAGATGCGTTTTAATGTCGTGGGATCAGCATGGACACCGATTGCCGTACAGATGGAACTCCATTGATTTCGATCGTCTGTCAGCCTACCCTTAATTGTATTGGATTTGGATTCGGGGACATTAGTGCACACAAGGTTTAAGGCACCATGGTTGCGCCTGGTGGCTACTGGTTTTGGAGCCTTAGTTTCCGGTGCTTTTGGTGAATTTGTGAACGGCACTGATGGAGGCCATCCGTGCTGCGACATTTTAGTTTTCTCTAGTCCGGCCACCAAGGTTACCGGTGCTATTTCCGGTGTTTGCTTGGCGGCAACCGATGCGTATGTTACCTGGTTCCTCACTATGGCTGGTTGACTGCAGCTTAGGGTCTCCTGTATAGCGAACAAACTACTAGGTGTAACACACTGTACAGAAGTTGAAGCAGGCACGCTGCAGACAATGTTTTTACTTATGGGAGAGAGAGAAGCGAGTTGGTACTGATTGAGACTGAGTCGTCGGGGTAATGTTGGGACGCCTGGCTCTCTTCTTCGGCCTGGATGGGGAATTCGAAGCGTTATTTTCACATACAAGTGCAGGTGCGTTTCCTCTGATAGGTATGACCCTGGCGCACACACAGTTGCTCGACTGCTTCTGTTAGTCTTTCACGGTTTTGCAGTAGTAGTTAGATAGCTAACAACTGGGATAGCACTGCATACTGGGCAGAACCAAAACGCCTCTGTCGTGTTATTGTACCGCTTCGTTTTTATGGACTCCGGCCCAAGACACTTTTGTGATAGGTTTTCAAGCAACTGCTGCAAACTAGGCCACTCTTCAGCAATTTAACACACAACTC